GGTAGGGTCCTGAAAAGCCAGAACATCGGATGCACATTTCACTCTTCCCTTTCTCTCCCAAGGGACAAACCACAAGCTGGGCAATTTCTCCCAATCCTGTTGAGCTGTGCCAGCCTCCATCTGCAGCACTGTCACTTCTCTGGTGCTGCTCAAACCGCTAAGCTTTCTTTTGTTCTCCATGACCCAAAGGCATCCAAAGTCATCTCCCTTTACTCCCAGTTTTGTAGCTTCATGTATGATCCAAAATTATTAAATGGTAAATTCCAGAAATAATTCCAAAGGTTTACATTGCACTGCTCTGAGTAATGTGATGGTATCTCACACTGTCCCACTCTGTCCTGCCCAGGACATGAATCATCCCTTTACCCAGCATATCCATGATATATATATATATACGGCCTGTCCATTAATCACTTAGCCATATTGGTCATCAGATCAACTGTCACAGTATCACTGTGCTTGTGTTCAAGAAACCCTTGTTTTACTTAATAAAGACCCCAAAGTGCAAGAGTAGTGATCTTAACACTTCAAATATATCACAAAGAAGGCAAGAATTTTCAACTTAATAAGAAAAAAAATCATACGCTGAGGTTGCTAAGACCTACAGCAAAAATTAATTTTCTATCCTGAAACCGTGAATAAGGAAAAAGAAATGCATGTTACTTTTGCTGTTGCATCTCAAACGGCTAAAGTTACAGCTATAGTGCATGATAAGTGCTTAATTAAGCCAGAAAATGCATTACATTTGTAGACAGAAGACAGAAACATGTTACATCTGATAGCAACCAGGTTCAGGACTATCCACAACTTCAGACATCCACTGGATGTCTTGAAGATAAGGGGATACCACTGCATGCCGGTTCCCCATCAGTGCTCCAAGTCAGTCGAGACAGAAATCAGCTTCCCAGTGCCCCAAAAAGCTAGAACACTGGTACACATTCCACTCCTCTTTTCCCATCTCAGGGGAGAAGCCACAAGCTGGGATTCTCCTCCCAATCTCACCAAGTTGTGCTAGCTTGGGAGAAGGGCCAGCACAGTTGATATGAAATAGCTTTTCTTACCAATTTCAATATAGCTATTCTAGGCTTTGAGCTTGCCTACAGTACTGCAACTTCTTAAGTGGTTTCTGGCATTCTCATTAAGGCTTTCGGGGAGGTGTTTTAGTTAAGTCAATGTCTCTGTGGAGAAACAAGGGCTGGGGCTTACTAGTCTGCCACCTTGCTGGCATCACTCCTGGAGAAACTCTTTAATGGTTATTATTGATTCAGTTTTCCTCTTTTGGTAACGACTTGCTTAAATGCCTTGCCCATTTCCACACTGGAGTGTTTGCCTCTTTATGACAGATATGTGCAAGTGGTTTCTATATTTTGCATACTAATCCTTTGTCAATTTTATAGGTTGAAAATATCTTCCAAGTCCGTGGCTGGCTGTATCCATTTGTTAATAGATTTTTAAAATTATTTTATTCTCAGCTGATTTTTAAAAAATCATCAACGCTGATGCATACTTTGTGAGTTTGGTGTTGGGAGTATCTACACATTGCAACTTATTGATCTTTCTAAGTCCCTTTTAATAAATTTTTCATTACATTATTCAAAAGATCCATTAGTCAACATATACCTCACAGCAAAATCAAAGTCTTTATCTGACATGTAAATAAATAAATCTAAACACTCTCCATGCCTCCTATAGATTCTTATTTTGGGGAATACTTCATAATACCACACAGTTTACCTATTTTAAATGTACATTCAATAAATTTTTATTAAGTTTATTGAATTAAAAAACTGTCATCATCTAGTCTTAGAACATTTCCATCACTGTAGAAAGATCCTATGTGTTCATTTGCAAGAAATCCCTGTTCTTAATCTACTAATCTACTTTCTGTCTCTATGGATTTGCCTATCCTGAATATTTCATACCAATGGAATCATGTAATATATGGTCTTTCAAGGATTCTTCTTACACTTAACATGCTTTTGAGGTCCACCCATGTTGCAGCATGGATCAGCTCCTTTTTATTGAAGAATTGTATCATACTGTATTTTATTGTATGACCATGCTATATCTTGTTTATTCACTAATGATTTGATGAATATTTGGACTGCTTCCACTTTTCTCTATTATGAATAATGCCACGAACATCCGTGTACAACTATTTCTGTGCTTATTAGACATTTGTATATATTTTTTGCCAAAATGTATTTTCCAATCATTTGCCCATTTTGTACATATGTATGTATGTATGCATGCATCTATGTATTTATTTATTTTTACATTAGAAAATATAGCTTATTAAGAAAGTAAGTTGGAGGGAGGGATTCATCTCCAAGTGCTCCAAGTCAGTCGAGTGGAGTGTGCATCCAACATTCTAGCTTTTTGGGGTACTAAGAATTTGATTTCTGTCTCGACTGACTTGGAGCACTGGATACGAATCCCTGCCTCCCCACAAACGAGGGGAAGGCAATCATTTTAAACCTGGGTTATTTGTCTTGTTCCTGAACTCTTTATATATTCTGAATATGAGCCCTTGATCAGTAGTACAATTTGAAAATATGTTCTCAATGTGTCTTTACTTTTTAAATAATGGCAACAGATTTTTGTTATTGTTATTTATCCATTTACTTGTTGATGGTTCTTTAGGTTGTGTCTGATTTTTGAACTATGACAATAAAGCAACTATGAACATTCATATACAGGTTATCAGTGAGCACTTAAGTTTTCCCTCTGTTATAAATAAATACTCAAGAGCGGAATGGATGGGTTGCATGGTAAGTGTATGTTTAACTCCATAATAAATTGCCACACTGTATTCCCAAGTAGTTGCGCCATTTTACAAAGCAATGTATGAGAGATCCAATAGTTCTACATCGTCTCCAACACATGATAATGTGAATGTTTTAAGTTTTAGTCATTTGAGAGAGCCTGCAGTAGCATCACATTTGATATCTTTCTTGTTTAATTTTTACATTGTGGTAAAATATAAATAATATTAATATTTATTTAACCATTTTAAGTGGCAACCATCAGTGATACTAGATTCAATTCACATGCTGTCTACTCATCACTACTATTATATCCCAAATTGTTCATCATCCTCAACATGAACTCTGCTCATTAAACAATAACTCCCTATAGCCCCCAGAAAGCTCTATTCTGCTTTCTATCTCTATAAATTTTCCTATTCTATGTACCTCATATAAGTAGCATTAAACAATATTTGTCCTTCTGCATCTAGCTTATTTCATTAAGCATTGCTGCTTCCAAGGTCCATTTATGTTCTTGAATATATCAAAATGCTATTTCTTTTTATGGCTGAATAGTACACCTCTGTATATATACCACACTTTGTTTATCCAATAATTCACTGATGGATACTTGGGTTGTTTCCACCTTTTGGCTACTGTGACTAAACAACACTGGTGTACACATAGCTATTTGAGTTTATGCTTTCATATATAGATACACACATACACTCACACACACAGATATACACAATCATATATAGATAAAGTTCCTGATTTTTTATATGTATTTAGAAGTGGAATTTCTGGGTCATATAGTATTCTATGTTTGATTTTCAAGGAACCACCAAACTGCTTTTCACAGCTGTATTATTTCACATTTCCAGCAGCAATACAAGGGTTTTAATATCTACACATCCTCACCAACACTTGATATTTTCCATTTTTAAAAAAATTATAGCTAGTTCCAGCTACTTGGAAGATTGAGGAGGAAGAATCGCCAGAGCCCAGCAGGTCGAGGCTGCGGTGGCCGGGAGCGGCCACTGCACTCCAGTCTGGGTGACAGAGTGAGACTCCAACTCAAAAAAAAAAATTATTGCTATCCTAGTAGAGAAATGGTATCTCATTGTGGTTTTGATTTGTATTTCCCTAATGATTAGTCATGTTGAGCATCTTTTCATGTGTTTACTTGCCATCTTCTTTGTACATCTTTGAAGAAATGTCTATTCAATGCATATTTCTGAATTGGGTTTTTGTTGTTGAGGAGTTCATTATATATTCTGGACACATTAATCCCTTTTCAGAGACAATATTCACAAAAGTTTTTACTCACTTAGTAGGCTGTTTTTTAGCTTTCCTGAGAGTATCCTTTGATTCACAATAGCTCTTAACTTTAATATAAAGTCCAATTTACTTGTTTTTTTCTTTATTGCTTATGTTTTATGGTGTCATATCTGAAAAATCATTGCCAGATCCATGTTATGAAGATTTTCCCCAGCATATTCTTCTAAGAACTGTATAGTTTACTTCAAGGGTTAGGTGCAAAGGCAAAGGGCAAAGATGGCTTCTGATAGAGCTTTAATTAGCAATAGCTTTAAAAAAAATCCCAAGTCCCTCAGTCCCCAGAGTCTCTTGGTTAATGATAGGTTAACAATGAAATGCTCACCAATGAAAACAACTCTAAATTCTTTCATAGAGTGAAGAAACATTTGCAATGTGATTAATTGCTTTTTAATTTGTCCGAATCTCTTTGATTTGTTTAGTCTAGATTTTGGAATATTAAGTTTCTTAAAATAGGCCATATGTTCACATCAAAAATGTGACTGTGTGTATGCATGTGTGTCTGTGTATGCACACACTAGGGAAGAGGAGGACAGAGCAGGGGCAGGATAGCTGAAGGGAACACACTTGCATCCGTGCTCATTCTCTCTTACATACTAATCCCAGGGTAAACCTACGTGCTTCTCTTTCTTTCGTGTTCTCTACTGTATATGTAGGCCTTTCTATCTAATGGGTACACAAAACACATCGCATGACTTACTTAATGCCCTACGAGAGTTGAGAAAAGAACAGCGATTAAGAAAAGGTTTGAAAAAACTCACCAATTTGCCAAGTATTCCACTAAAATAATGTCTCCACACAGACTATAGCCACCACTATGAACATACATTTGCTATGAATTACAAAATTTTCCTCTCATAACCAAACTGATACATTTTGAAACCTGAGAAGAAGGATGTTTAGTTTAACACCTACCGCCTTTGAGTGTTAAATCCATTAAGATGATTCTCCCTGAGTTCAGACACTAATGATAAAACCATCTGTAAAACAAAATCAGTTGCAGGTTAACTCATACCACAAACAGGATTACATCAGTTCTACTTTTCTTGGTGTGAGTGACATTTCCGTTGAGATTCCCTCCCCCACGTCTTTTCCTTATGTTTTACTTTGTCAGAGTGAAAAGAAAGCAGTGCCAAGTCACATTTACTAATAACTGGGATTTTATACTTAATGTCTATTACTCTGCAATTCTATTTAGGCAATGAATAACATTAATTTCCTAAGAGTTAAAACCAAACTCAGTTTCTAAAAAATATTAGAGCTAGTTTACTTATTCTTTTTAAACTGAATTCATTTTTAAAATGCTCTTCTTGTATAAAGCTTCCAAAAGACAGCCTGGCGCAGTGGCTCATGCCTATAATCCCAGTACTTTGGGAGGCCGAGGCAGTCAGATTGTTTGAGCCCAGGAGTTCAAAACCAGCCTGTACAAATAGTGAAACCACATCTCTACAAAAAATACAAAAATTTGCTGGGTGTGGTGGCATGCACCTGTCGTTTCAGCTACTTGGGATGCTGAGGTGGAAGAATCACCTAAGCCCAGGAAGTTGAGGATCCCATGAACCATGATCGTCATGATCATGGCACTACATTCCAGTCTGGGTGACAGAGCAAGATCTCAACTCAAAAAAATAAATAAATAAAAGCTTCCAAAAGACAAGAATAATTAGCAACCATTAAAAATCTCAAACATTTTTGGAAGAGTTATGTCAAGATCATAAATTTTTAAAGTCTTACATTTGTCTACAATTTAAGCCAGAAGAAAACACAGCTTTAATTTAAGAGATACATATGTAATACTATTTAGAATTTTCTGCTTTGCTTTAACATAAAACTCCAGTCAGGTTATTTTAAATACAAGATTTCTCTAACAGTGTACGTCTCTGTTTATACTGGGAAAAAGAAAGCTCTTCTACCCACAAATCTTTGAATAAATAAGTGAGGTGTGTTATGAGAAAGAAAAAATGACTGGCTGACTTAGTAAAGCCTTTTCTGGTTTCTTCTTCTTTCTCCTAACTGCCCACCTCACATTTCTTCCTTACATGACCATAAGTCCACCCAAGGTAAGAATAGATAAGCAAAAAAAAGTTAAACATCTTTCTTGGAGTCCTGAAAAATTTCCATTCACCCATTTTACTGGTGGCATGTTCAGAATTGAAATTTCAACATGAGTTAATTTAAAATACTCACATTTTTAAGCAAACCAGGATAGCAATCTACAGGCGTACACCCAAGACCTTGAGTGAAAAGACTAACTTCTTTTATATCAAATCTGAATGCTGAAAGTATGTAAGATAATAAACCCTAAAAAGCAAACAGAAAGAGAAAAAGCCAACTTCTTAAAAGTGAAAGCAAGTGCCTTTTATTAACAATGCTTACAACTAGAATTATTTGTAAATGGGGTGGTCTCTATGAAACCAAACATCTCAATTTGTCCAAGTACCCAGTTCACTTTGATTCAAGGTGTAAAAAAGAAATAAGTTAGAATTAAAATTAATACATTAAAAATAATTAAATTTAAACAAATGCTAACAGTGAAACAAAAATATATAATGAACGAACAATGTTTTAACTATATTAAGAATGGAATCTTTATTGTTTTTAAGTTCAGTAAAATATTTTTAACAGAGTAGATATGAGAATTTAATACAAGACAAAGAACACATCACCAATCAGTAAGGAAATGAAGATTACACAAGAAATTATGCCTGGAAAACTACTCATTTGGGGGAAAAAGTTAGATTTTTCACCTTACATTATTTGTCAAAATATATTTGAGTTTAATGTCAATTAAAGATGTCAATGTAAAAGTGAAATGAGATAATAAAAAGAAAATACAAGTATTTTTCAAATGTCTAAATGAGACAAAGCTTTGTAAACTGAAAATCATGGGTGCAAATCATAGCATAAAAAGATTGATTGTCGTTTCTGCACTGCTGGTGGGAATGCAGACTAGTACAACCTCTTTGGAAGACAGTGTGGTGATATCTGAAAGAACTAGAAATTGACCTTCCATATGATCCAGCAATTCCCTTATTGGGAATATACCCGAAGGAACTCAAATATTTCTACAAAAAAGATACCTGCACACTTCTGTTTGTTGCAGCTCTATTCACAATAGCAAAAACATGGAACCAACCCTGTTGCCCACTGAAGCTGGACTGGATAAAAAAAAAATATGGTACATATACACAATGGAATATTATGCAACCATAAAGAAGGACAAATATATGGACTTTGCAGCAACTTGGATGAATTTGGAGTCGATCATACTCAGTGATTTATCACAGAAACAAAGAACTAAGTTCTGTATGTTCTCACTCATAAGGTGACCTTGAACAATTATAATGCTATAAGAAAGCGACTGGCAGTAGTGGAAAACTGTCAGGGGAGGGGAGGTGGGACTGGCAGTTGAGGGGAACTGCTAGGGGAGGGAGTGGCATACCACATCAACAAGGGTACCTGCATGATCGGTGTTTATATATCTAACCCTTAATTGCACCCCACATCTTTATAATAAATAAATTTTTTTAAAAAGATTGACTGTACCAAATATAAATAGAAGTTTTTATCAGAAAATAACATAAAGCATAAACGAGAAAGGATATTAACAACAAACACTACAGATCATATGTAAACAAATTAACATATAAAGTATATGGCAAACACTAAGAATATAAAAAATGAATATGAACACATAATTCACAGAAAACGCAAAGGCCGAGGAACACGTGAATAAATGTTCACACTCATAATCAAAGAGGGTGAGGTAAAACACCAACGTGATGTTTTCCCTTTCATGGATTAACGCTTCTGATAGACATAAACAGCTAATGCTGTCTGGGTTCTCGTGGGGGAGTATCAACAGGGACTTCCACACAGAGCGCAAATGTGGATGGCATGAAGGCATGCAGTCAGTGTGAGTGGGTACCACACAGCCCACGCCCCACACCCCCATGCTTGGACTTCCAGGGCTGTGTCTTCCCAGAGGTTTGTCACCCGAACAAAGATGCCTTCCAGGCTCACAGATGCCTGACCTATAGAAAGCAGCTTGAAAATACATGTTGTCTTGAAAGTGTTCAGAACCTTTGATCCATCTGGCATAAATTTACGGAAATAAATCTCAATATGATAATCGTGCCCCAAGATGTTTACTACAGTGTTATTTCTCATAATAAAGCGTCTCACACTGGGAAAGATTAATTTATAAACTTATATAGTGGCTCATCGTAAGTTATTAAAATGGCTAAAAAGAATTTGATGGTATTTTAAGCGGTTATATTATAGCCTTAAATGGAGAAAGATGCAAAATTTTGTGCTCAGAAGTGATCTCATCATTATAAGAAATAACCCATGCATCAGAATGGAAAAATAATGGAAGTAAACATTGCTATCTTAGTCCATTTGTACAGCTATGGCAAAACACCTCAGACAGGGTAATTTATAAGAAGCAGAAATTTATTCCCCAGTTCTGGAGGCTGTGAAGTCCTAGACTAAGGAGCTGGCAGGTTCAGCATTTGGTGAAGGCTTGCTGTCTGTTTCCAAGGTGGTACCCCGTTGCTGTGTGCTCTGGAGGGGACCAATTCTGTGAATGCCGTGTCCTCACGTAGTGGAAGGGAAGCAAGGGCAGGCGAGCCTAGTGTGCTTCCTTCCTTCTCTTTATACAGTACCTACTCTCATCCATGAGGAGCTCTGCCCTTACGACTTAATCACCTCTTAAGGGTTCACTCAACATTATCACACTGGTGATTAATTTTCAACATATGAACTTGGGGGGATACATTTAGACCACAGCAACACCAAAGGCTAACTTAACAGTCTCTAGGGTGATGCTATTATGGATGTTTTCCTTGTTTCTACTTCAATATGCTTTCTAGTTTCTTATACAGGTATGCATTACTTTATAACCAGGAAAAAAAATGTTCCTTTTTGTAAAAGATTTTATTTTCAAATAAATCACCTGCCTGACTTTCCCTCAGAATGACTAGGATCTTGGAAGGATCCCAGACTCTTCCCATGAGGACTTTCATATGTTCTAGTCCCTCTGCCTGGGGGTCTCTCCTATATCCCTCAACTGGTGAAATGTTGCTTCTTGAAGGAATTCTAGCAATTATGACAACTAAAATTTACTGAGTGCTTTACCATGTGCGAGGCACTATGCTAAGTTCTGTAAGTGTGGCATCTCATAGAAAATCCCAGGTTCAGCTCTTAATCAAATCCAATTAAACAAAGTTTCGATTAAGCCACCCACAACCAGATAGCTATTGTTACTATATTTCATGATCAACCCTTAAAAAATTGAAGTACAGGGTACTACAGATCCATTTGAAATGGAAAGTAATGTAGTGTATAATAGCAGGAAACCAGTTTCAAGGTAGTAACAGCTAAGGGTCAGTTAAGATTAGATCTTAGGCAAAACTACACCCAGGCTTTCCCCTCTAATCCAGAGCCTCCCAGAACACTCCCGCCTTGAGCCTGGGACCACAGCATGGAGAGAGATTTCTCTACTCTGTATGAGTATCTGTGGCACCCGAGTCAATGGAAGTCAAAAAGTAAAAAAAAATCCAGACATCTGATAAGTACAGAGGATGCGATCAGGGATTGCAAATAATTCCTGAGCAGTGCTTGACGTGGCCACAAACAATTCTCAGACACTGCAGTCAAGCATCACCTAACGATGGGGATACACTCCGAGAAACGTGTCGTTAGGCAACTCATCACGTGAACATCAGAGTACACTTATGCCAACCCAGACAGTCTAGCCTACTACACACTTAGGCTAAAACCTGTGCAGCTGTTACTGCACTGAACGCTGCAGGCACTGTAACACAGTAGTGAGTATTTGCATGTCTAAACCTATCCAAATATAGAAAAGCTACTGTAAAAACACAATGTAATAAATTTTAAAAAGGTACACTTGTATAGGGCAGTTATCATGAATGGAGCTTGCAGGACTGGAAGTTGCTCTGGGTGAGTCAGCGAGTGAAGGTGAGTGAATGTGAAGGGCTAGGGCATTACTGTAGACTACTGTAGACTTTAGAAAACTGTACACTAAGGCCACATGAAACTTACAACGTATTCTTCCTTCTTTAATAATAAGTCAACCTTATCTTATTGTAACTTTTTAACTTTATAAACCTTTTTAATTTTTTTAAACTCTTGGACTCTTCTGTAATCACACTTAGCTTAAAACACAAACACATTGTATAGCTGTACAAAACTATTTTTTTCTTGTATCTTTAAGCTATAAGTTTTTTTATTTTTAGCTGGGCTTGGTGACTCAGCCTGTAATCCCAGCACTTTGGGAGGCTGAGGTGAGTAGATTGCTTGAGCCCGTGGGTTCGAGACCCACATGGGCAACTTGACGAGACCTCATCTCTACAATAAATCAAAAATTAGCCGGGCGTGGTAGAGCACGCCTGTAGTTCCAGCTACTTGGAAGGCTGAGGCGGAAGGATCGCCAGAGCCCAGCAGGTTGAGGCTGCGATGGCCAGGAGTGGCCACTATACTCCAGTGTGGGTGACAGAGTGAGACTCCAACTCTAAAAAACAACAACAAAAAAACAAAAAACAAAAAACAACAACAAAAAATTTTTATTTTTTAAACTTTTTTGTTAAAAACTAAGACACAGAGTCCATACAAGGTCAGCTTAAAAAAAACTAAGCCAGGCATGTAATCCCTAGGGGGTCAAAACTACAGCAAACTGGGATCATGCTACTGCAGTCCAGTCTAGGGGGGCGGGGGGGGAGGAAGAAATAGTTCCCTGTCTCATTACCAAAAAAAAAAAGCCTACACCATAATACTACGTGCTAAGAGATGATGAAGTAAGAGGTGATGAAGTCATGAGGGATCTGTCCTGGCAAATAGATTAATGCTGTTATTTCAGGAGGGGGTTCCTGATTAAAAAAATGAGTTGGCCACCTCCTCTCAAGCACATGTACTCTCTTACCCTCCTGCTTTCCACTGTAAGATGAAACAACAAGAGGGCTCCCAAACCTGGAACTTCCCAACCTGCAAAACTGTAAGAAATCACTCTCTGTTCTTTACAAATTACTCAGTGTCAAGTATTCTGTTACAGCAGAACAAAATAATCTAAGACAGTAGCCAAAGCATTAAAGTTCATGCTCAGAAGCTCAATTTCCAAGAACATACCCAAGGAAAGATTTTGTTTCATAGCAGCATGACTTATAGCAGCAAAATACTAGAAGCAATCAAGGTACCCAAAACATTAGATTGGTTAAATTCATCGTGGTTTATCCAACAGTGTGAATCATATTATAAAAAGAGACTTGATATAGGAAAAG